CATTCCTGCCCCCCCGGCGCTGCCGCCCCCCCGGCGCTGCCGGCCCCGCGGTCCCGGGAGAGGCTTTGTTGCACGGAGAAGCCGGGGGCACGGGGGTGCGGAGGGACACTGCAACTTCACCAGCTGCTGGGGGGGGAAACCGGAAAAGCTCCGGTCCCTGCACCCCAAATCGGTGCTGCCACTGCTGATGGGGAGAGGGACCCCGGAGCCGGCCAGGACCCCCCGCCATCACCCTTGACTCTGGGCGCTGGAGCCATGGAGTGCTGCCCCTAGGCCCTGCTGAGCCCCCCCTCCAAGTGCCGCTCCGGGACTTGGGTCTGGTTCAGGGTCAGCTGCGCCCCCGGCTTTGGCCCACAACCCCTCACACCGGGTTAATCAGTCACGGCCGTGGCCGCGGGGAAGGTGACACCATCCTGGTGCCCGTCCCGGTCCCCTGCCCGTTCTGCCCAGCTGCCCATGCTGGGAAGAGGCTCCACCACAGGACCCCAGGGCACGTTAATGTTCAACCTGTGCCCAGTTAGGAGGGCAGCCAGGCCACGCGGCTCTCTGTGCCCGGGGGGAGACACCCCATCTGCCCCACACCAGCAGCCCCTTTGGGCTCTCTCCAAGCCTCATGAGGGCCCAGTGTCTGTCTGTCCATCTGTGTACAGGAGCCCCCAGGGAGGGGACTGGGTGCTGTGGTGGGACTGGGGGTGACGGCAGTGCTGGTCCCCCCCGCAGCGCTGCAAAGAGCGGGTGAACTCGCTGGCCATCGCAGTGATGAACATGTGGCCGGGGGTGAAGCTGCGGGTGACGGAGGGCTGGGATGAGGACGGGCACCACCTCCCCGACTCCCTGCACTATGAGGGACGGGCGCTGGACATCACCACCTCCGACCGCGACCGCCACAAGTACGGCATGCTGGCCCGCCTGGCTGTGGAGGCCGGCTTCGACTGGGTCTACTATGAGTCCAAGGCACACATCCATGTCTCTGTCAAAGCAGGTACCACACGGGGGGAGGGTGGCTGCCACTGAGGTGGGGGGCTGCCGTCCCTATAAGCATCCCAGGTGGCGGCTCTGCAGCCCACTCTGCTCCCCCTTGGCATCCTGGATCCATGCGGGGTGCCGGCCCTGCTCTGGCTGATGTCTGGCCCCAGCAGGTTCAACCCATGTCTGGCCCCAGCCCAGCTCCCCCCCGGCCTTTCCGGCCACCAGCTTGGCAAAAAACACACTTCCTCCCCCAAATTTTGCCTGTCTGGAGCCACCCTCGCAGTTCAGCCCCCATGTGGGGCACAGCAAGGGCTGTTAAGCTGGTCCAAACAGCCGCAGCCCAGTCTACAGCCCCCAGCCCTGCGGCTGCTCCGGCCAGCAGCCCCTGTCCAGCCCAGAAGTGACAATCAACAGAAAATGAAAGTGGCCATAAATGTCACCGTCCCCAGCCCCAAACAAAGGGCGTCAGTGCAGAGTGGACAAAGGGGCCCTGCAGTGCCCTGCCTCCCCGGGAGCTGCGTGCAGGAACCAGGGGGGCTTCAGAAAATACCCGCTTTGTTCCAGGGGTGGTTTGGGAGCCTGGGGAGGGTGGGCGGCTTCACTCAGGGCAGTTTCCCCTCTGGAGGTGGTGGCAGTGGAGGTGGCTGGCGGGGACCGGGGACCCACAGCTTTCTCCATCTGCCCAGATAACTCGCTGGCCATCCGCACCGGTGGTTGCTTCCCTGGCCATGCCACTGTGACGCTGCAGAGCGGTGAGCGCCGGGGCCTGGCTGACCTGCGCCGGGGCGACTGGGTGCTGGGTGCGGAGCCAGGCGGGCGCCTGGTGCCCACGGAGGTGCTGCTCTTCCTCGACCGCAACCTGGGCCAGCGGGCTTCCTTTGTGGCCATCGAAACCGTCAGCCCAGCGCGCCGCCTGCTCCTCACCCCGTCCCATCTGGTCTTCGCGGCCCGCGGGGCAGCCAACGGCACGGCTGCCTTCCTGCCCATCTTCGCCCGCCGCGTGCGACCGGGCGACGCAGTGCTGGCCCACGGGACTGGTGGGCAAGGGCTGCGCCCTGCACGGGTCCTGCGGGTTTCACGGGAGGATGGTGTGGGGGTCTTCGCCCCCCTCACCTCTCACGGGACCCTGCTGGTCAATGGGGTGCTGGCATCCTGCTACGCTGTCCTGGAGAGCCACCGCTGGGCCCACTGTGCCTTTGCCCCCCTCCGCCTCTTCCACGGCCTCCTCTCGCTGCTGCCCACCCGCGCGGAGGCGGGCAACGGGACAGCCCCGGAGGCAGGCATGCACTGGTACTCCCGCCTGCTCTACCAGCTGGCCGGGGGGATGCTGGGCCAGGGGGTCCTGCAGGCGTAGGGCTCCCTGGCCCATCGAGTCACCACACTGCAGCCAATGCCACACACTGGAAGTCCCTGGACCCTCTTGGACCAGCAGGCGCTGGGGAGGAGGTTCAGGAGCACGCCCAGCCCCGTGGGGAGCTTGGGGTGTCTCTCAGCTCAGCGCTGCCCGGGGGCACAGTGTGGTGGGGACAGGGTCTCTGGGACAGGGTCTCTGGGTCAGGGTGTTGCAGGGTGGGCCAGGGACCCGGGCTCAGCCCCCTACCCTGTCCCAGAGACATCCCGCAGCACTGCTGGGTGCCCGTCCAGACCCCTGCACCCCAGAACCCTCTGCGCTCCCTCTGTATTTATTGCTTTATTAACTGCCAGGGCTGGGGCCAGGCTCACTCCCTGTCGAATCCAGGCTGGACACCACTGGCCTCTGCCCCAGGGCCAAATCCAGCCCAGGGGGGGCCAAATCAGCCCAACACCGAGTACTTGGCAGCAGTTCCTGCCCGTCCCCCAGCTCTGGATCTGGCCCTCCCGTCACCTGTGGTGTCCCCACGCAGCTCAGTGCCGCAGAGTGGCTGGACATGGCGCCTGCCGTGGGCACAGACACCCTGTGCCGGGCCTGGCTCTAACTCCGCTAACCACTAACCTGCCCTGCTTGAGAGTTTTATTTTTCTATTTATAAATGGTAATATAAATGTCCCCCACGCCTACCTGCTCTGGCAGTGGGGCGTGCCCCGCAGGGCAGGGGGCCAGCCTGCTTTTAACCACTTCTGTTTTTAAAACAAAACAAAACAAAACAGAAATACTACTATTTAATTGTTCAGATAAATAAAGAGACTCTATCTCCCTGGTGGAACTGTGACAGGGGCTGTGCAAGGCCGGGGAGGGGCCGTGGAAGGGCTGGGGTTTGGCATCCCGGGGGGGCAAGGGTCATCCTCCCGGGAGCAGGGTGTTCCTGGGGCTGGGGTGGGGTATCCCGGGGCAGCTGAGGGTCCCTGGGGCTGGGGTGGGGTATCCCAGGGTAGCTGAGGGTCCCTGGGGCTGGGCATCTCGAGGGGACCGGGTCACCCCAGGGAGAGCTGAAGGTCCCTGAGGCTGGGGTCAGGCACCCCCGCGGGCTTTGGGGATCTCTGGGGCTGGGGTTGGGCGTCCCGGAGAGCCTGGGGGCATCCTGGCAGGGCTGAGGGTCCCTGGGGCCGTGGTCGGGCATCTCGGGGAGG